GGTCACCTTTATTGCTGGTCGTGATGGCGAAATCCAGCCTTCATTGTGACGGGCGTTCCCCACCAATATGTCTTCCTCATCTGAATTATTATCCCGTCCTTGTTACTCAGACTTATTTCCCCTCTGTCCATCCTCTTCTTCATGTCCCCCCTAAGTTCCCGCATTTTCATCCTTTCTCTGTGGTCGTAGTCTGCCTGATAAATTATTGTTTTGTGCGAGTTCCTTAGGGCCATTTTCTCGTTCTAGTATGAGGGCTGTCTGGACGTCATTATTCAAGACTACTTTAAGAGGTCTTGAGGATAAGTTGAAGTCAAGACTTGGTTCTGTTTTGCCAAGTCGAAAAGTTTTCTGTGCTGAAGAAAAGGATGCGATCACTGGAACAAGAGTTTATTTGCCTGGCGTTTCGGATTCCGTCGGGAATCCATAATCTTGGGTAGTGGTGACATAGGCATGGTCATGCGCATGAACTGCGTCCTGGAACTCGCATATTCTCCAGTATCGGCAGTTTCTATATTCTAATGATCCCCCCATCCGGCAGGACGCTATTAACCTAATCATTAATGCGATTCATATAACGTGTCCACCTTTCCCCTGGCATGTTTGCTGTGGACTCAGGAACACCTTTTATCACGGTATTGTGCTTCCGGTTTATGGGCCAATTTTTTAGCTTCCCATCTGTGCAGTTGCGGTTTGTTTCCTCGATAATGCTACTAATAGGAGGCTTGTTTGTCCTACAATGGTAGCATTCTTCAGAGCAAGGAGTTGTGAAACTCATGTTCGTACGTGATGTACTGTCTTCGTACCGGCCCTCTTCAACACGTTCGGATTCCGTAGATCAGTAAGAATGGCCAGGGGTGCAATTTTTCTCTGGAATCTGCTCCCTTTTAGACTGTTTTCAGAACTTTTTCTTTTCCTTCTTAAGTTTTCCCTGTATTTTTGGGACATGGGGACTGTTTGGTCCATTGCCATTTTCTGCTCCATTTCCAATTTCAGATTATTAATCTCTATCTCGAGGTTCAAAACTTTATGAAAAAGTGTACAGTATGATACCTAGGCTTCCTCATCGC